TGTAAGCTAGCGCAAATTATTGAGTTGGTCATTAAATAAGTCATGAATGAAAAAAAAAATTAAAAAAAGATATATAAAATATTTTCAAATGCCAGTATTAAATTTTAAAAATATTTCCTCCATAAATCACACGGTTGAACAGATCGATCTATGACAATAAAATGAGATAATTGAATCGAGAAAAATGTACACAAGTTGTTACACACCACGAGAGTTTCTTCGACGGCTATTAAAATTCTTTCCTCGAGCTTGTTGCGCCTGGGGCTGGCGAACCTGGCCATACCAAAGTTTTTCAGGCAGCCAGCCACGAATTTTCTGTGCTCGCGCCATAGCTCTCCCTCAGCAGCGATGATACCTGCAACAACAAACAGAAAAAATAACGTAAAATGAAAATATGCACAAATCATTTTTCCGTAAGAATACCGAGTTTTTCTTCCTCACGAGGTTGGCTGCGTTTTTAATTTAGTCGTAGCGTACAAGCGCACATTTTTCTCGGAGGCATTAGCCTCAGTTGTGATGTCGCATACGTTTTCCGTCCCTTTCACTCAACGCGATCGTTGTGTACACCAACGTGTGAGCGATGTTAGATATAAGTAACGAGGAAAATCTAAATGACGCATTTGTACGATTCATTGAACTCTTTTCTGGTCAAACGTACCTGTGCACGTGCGCGTGTATGCAAAATTCATTTGATAGTAGAAAAAACAATATTTACAAATTAGAAATTAGAGGGGGTTTTTTGCTTGTTGGGCACAGAGATTTCTGAGATTTTAGTGATATGACAGTTTCTACCTTTAGGAATTGAATGCTGATTGACTGTAATTTTCTCATTGGCTATTGGCTCATACTAATTTTCAAACAAGTTTCTGTAATTAAACTAAGCTTAATTCATGTCTTGTTACTTTTGTATATTAATCTCTTTGTTAAGTGATTTTGATAACTTACTCCGCCAATGGGTTTAAAATGAAGACTCCTTCTGTATGGCATCCCATATGGTATGTTCATACACGATGACAAAAGGATTCAAACAAAACATATTTCTTTTTTAAGATGTACATAAATTAAATAATGAATTAAATTTTTTATGAAAACTTGTTTGTAACTTGTACATAAATAAATCGAAAAATGATGAAAACAATTTTAAGAACGTTTAAAAAATGTTTGACGCACGTGAGTTGTCACACAAATTTCGTGACAAAATTACAAAAAAATTATGTCAATTAAGGTAATAACGATTTTCATTTTTTTCTAGACAAAAATTTTGTAATAAAAATGACATCTGCTGCACTGTTAAATCATTCATTTTCAGAAATTTTCGCGTTCGCAGTACCTGAACGTACTTTTTAACAGTAAAACGACGAGGTGTAATGATTGTAGTTACAAAAAAAATTGGCATGAGAAAAAAGGAAAATCCGAGGTACAAGTCAATGATCGAGCATAAGTAAAGGCTGGGGGAAACCGGGGCAAGAAGAACACCGTAAAAATAGAGAAAAAGTTAAAAGAAAAAGAGTGGCTGGTCGAGCGTGTGCCACTGGTGTGTGCAGTTTGTGTGTATGTGTGTGTGTGTGTTGCGAATGTCTTTGCATAGTGCATTAAGAAAGAGAGACAGAGAAAGAACGAGAGGTGCATAAAAAAAGCGAAAGGATTAACGTCATTCCGTTTAAGTAGGCGCAGCCACTGAACTCGTCGAAGGATAATCCGAGTCCGAGAGAGGATTGAATAAACAATGATCCACATCTCTCTCTCTCTCTTTTTTTGTCTTGAACCTATGCCTACACTTATTAACTACTCGTCGCTTGACAATATGTGCATGTGGGTGTAACTATACGTGTACGTTTGGTAAGTTATCGGATCATTATTAACGCCTGCAGTCGCTCTTTTCGAATCGAGAGTGTTGAAAAAAAAGTGGTGGCTTTGTGCACCAATGCGATTGTAAATCTTATTATAATGAGCCAAAAAACGAAGATGCGAGTCAAGGTGACAATGCGCGTCTTTTAAGATTATTAATAGGTGGTACGTGTTGAAAGTAGCCTTGCGAGCGGTTGTTGGTGTCTTGCAGGAAGATGTTCAGAATTCGTTGCTGATTTGCATTCTCTTACGTAGATACCCAACTGGTAGATCGTCTGACTTTGACAACCCAGGGTTTGAGGAAATCAATTATGCTAAAAAAAGGATCTTTATGCGCATGTAGTGTGTTGTTCATTCAAAATTATACATGTTGCAATCAAAATTAAGCTTTAAGAACTTAAGTGTGAAAACTTAAAAAATTTGGACATTTTATCAAAAGCAATATCTGAAGTTTGCACAAGTGATTTTTAAGAAGTAACCTGCATTATGCACATGTAGAAAATCCTACATAAGGTACTGTAGGATCCAACACGACGATTTTTTATATTTATATGAGATTCACAAGCATTAAACACAAAAATAAATACTCATGTGTTGTTGTCAAATGTTTTATTACAGGGACAAAATTATGCCTGATCAATAAATTAAAAGAAAAAGTTATTAATTTTATAGGTTGTGTAATGATGATGACTTTGATTAACTATTTCGTTTTTTTCTATTTGGACATTTTTAAAATAATATACAACGTCTTTGCAAAAGCTAAAAACAACAATTCCATCTTCGTTGGTTTTCAGTCTCGACAGCATGTGTGAAATATCGTATCTTACATGAACTTGCATTTCCATCGCGATTATCGAGCCTGTAATTCACGCAATACTCGTTCGATCATAAATTAATTAACGGACACACCCATTTTACGAACAGGTAGGTCATTAGCGTAACTGTATGCTATTATGAATCAGTAACGTTAATGTTATCGGGTGTTAAGTGAATAATTAAAAGAATAAGGAAGGTCAAAAAACTGTTTTCAAAAAAGTACGTCATAATAAGTAAGAGTACGTTATTTTATTATTAAAAAAAGATAAAATGTATTACTCATCACTTCGTTTTTATAAGTTTCATTATAATCACTGGCTTTAACATTATATTTACTAATATTATTATCAAATATCTAGATTTCTCAATTGAAAATGAATCAGATACATCGATGTAATGAGTTGAATAAAACGATCTTTCATGAGTACACATGATCTGCTAAAAAAAAAAAAACCATGTTACATTTGATTTATTGTATCGGAAAATATTATTCATGCAAGTGTGATTCTGATGGTAATAATGAGAACAAACATGTAATTAATTTCATTTTAATTTACATTAAGTGCAGGCGTTATCCACTTTGGTATGTTATCAGCGTCTGGATAATGTTTGTCTTTGTGACTTCAAATTGTAATTATCCATTATTCAAAAGCACACGTATGGATGTATTGTATCTTTCATAAAAAAATGATTGGTGATCAGAATTCAACGCTTCTTTAAACAAGTCGCATTCGATACTTTTTTTACTATCTGAAATTTATTCTAAATATTAAATTTAACAGCACCGAAAACGAAAATCCAACCATTCAGTCAATGTATTTTACTTTTATCACTCAGTGTAAATTTTGCAAAAAGAGCATCAAAAATGAATTGTGTCAAAAAAAAAAAAAAACAAAGATGAGACGAATCGATCAATCAGACAAGTTTTTTTAGGTTGGCATGTACGCATACGTGTTGGATAAACGTGTGACTCTCCTTTAGCCGATATCAATAATCTCGAGGTCAGAGCTTGACAGCACACACTTCACAATGAACGTGTATAAATAAACTGCGGTATGCAGAGACTAAATGAGATATGCGGGAATGGAAGATTTTTTGGGGATCCATGTACGATGCATGTAGACGTTTTTAAAATAACTAAGATGATTATGCAAGAGCAGATGCACGTGAAAATTTTTATTGCTTATGTCTCAAAAAACAGATTGGGAAACTTTAAATTTTTTTCAAATAGATATCCTTTTTTTCTTACTCATTTGATCTGTACCTAACTGCATGTGTATCGATGTAATAAATTGGTATTGTCAATAAATTTATGGAAACAACTTTTAATCGCTATAAAACTTATTAGTATTAAACATAAAATTTATTAAATCTGTGTATCAAGTGCACACTTAAGTTGATGATGAACATTAATAAGCAAAATGATGATAGTCAATATATAAGTATTTTTTAAGTTTCTTAAGCTTGCGTATGAATTTACAAATACGAGTACAAGCACATAAGAATTAACATGCATATCAAGTCTTATGTGTATAAAAAATAAATTCTTATTCTTCATCTGTACAATTATGAAGTTTTGTGCAAAAATATTAAAATTAAGATTGCAGTTCAAAATGAATAGAAAATAAAAACACTTTTATAAATGATTTTTCGTTTAGTTAAGTAGCTTTTCACATTAATTAAAATTTACAAAACATAAAACTACATAAATATTAAGATTCATTTTACAGTTTATGGAATCAGTATATTGAAATTACGTATTTACTTATTAATTTTGCTTGCATAATAATCACTAAAAATTAAAAAATTAAATTTTATATAACAGGTTTCTCGAAACTTGAAAAATAATTTTCATGTAAAAGTTTATAAAAATTAATGTACAAGCTTATCTACTCTTCAACTCACACACTACTTGGAAAATCGTATACAAAAATTAGATTAATGAAGATAAGATTTCGTCACTATTGCTCTCATTTTGCTTTCATAATTAAAATGTGACACAATCTCATTTCGTAAAAGTGCACTCAAATCTTTTAAATCATATTTTTTTTATAAGTCTCTAATCATCTATACAAAAAGATATGCATATGTATATGCAATCTAATCAGCTCGAATAAAAAAATTATTAATGTTTCACATGAATTTGACTACTGACGATATAAAATATCATAAAAATAATTGGAAGAGATTTTTAGCTTATTACTTTATTGCAATCAAATTAAAAAATTTTTTAATTACGCATTACTTTCAAGTGTACATAAAAGTACATGGAATATATATATATACTTTTTATTCTAAACAAGATTAATGATCACTTTTATAAAAGTTGATAGTAATATTATTAAACTTGGTGATACCACATTTACGAAATGAATAAATTGATCCATCAAATGTATATATACCTAAGCAATAATTTAAGAATGGATATAATTTTTTTATGCCTTTGGAGCTTCTTAGTTAATAGCACGATTACGTAAATGTATCAAACTAAATACTAAGAATACCATGCAGCAAAAATATTTAGGTGTGACTTTTCTACAATACTATCTAATAGATTTACTAGACCAACTATAAAAAAATGAATACTTCAATTAAAACTGAAAGTTAATTAAAGAATTTTACACAAAAGCAAAGGTTAATTCCAGAATACTACCAGAAAATATTTTAAAAAGGCCCACTGCCGACTGATTT